GACTATTGTCGAACCATGAAGATCCGAATAAAAATTGATCTTCTGCAACCGATGCTTGTCGTAAGAGGCGATTAATGGGATCGGGTGGTCAGGCTCGCTGACTTGGTTGACATATGTCATCGGGCGTGGATCGATCCTCATGCTGTTGATCACTGGAGTGTCTGGTCCAGACTTGATTCTGTACAGACTACAGTCGTATAGCTGGAATATTAATAATAAAATGCAGATTTCTTCATGCGCCTTTTCCACGTCAGCAGATATGCTCAAGGCGCAACAATGACAGATTAAAAGAGTCTCCCACATTTATACAGCAATATGTACACTTCCAAAATAGAGTTCCTAATAATACATTGAAAACAGGTATGTTTTGAGTCCTGACTTGAATGTGGCAATACTATCAGAAACTTTCAGATTGTATGGGAGTGAATTCCACAAGGTTGGGGCTGCATATGAAAAAGTCCGGTTTCCAAAAGTTTTAAGCTTGAAGTTTGGCACGAACAGAAACTCCTGATTGGATGATCGAAGGCAGCGCTTGTTTGAGTAAGGAGTAAGCAGGTCAGAGAGATATGGGGGGAGCAAGTCCGTGACGGGCCATGTAGGTCAAGCAGAGGATTTTGTAGTCGCTTCTTGCCTTGATGGGGAGCCAGTGCAACTGTTTAAGAACAGGTGTGATGTGGCCATGTTTGGGAATGCGACTGATAATACGTGCGGCCGTGTTCTGCACCTTCTGTAACTTATCCAATAGCCTCTGACTGATCCCAAACAACAAGCTGTTGCAGTAGTCGAGCCTTGAAATCACAAGCGCCCGAACTAAGGCATGGGTGGCTTCAGCTGTAAGATATTGACGGATATTGCTGATGGAGCGAAGATGGAAATAGCAAGTCTTACAGATGTTGTTCACCTGCGTTTCCATTGACAGTGATGTATCAAAGTATATGCCTAGATCTTTGACAGATGAGCTTATAGGAACAACTGCATCGGCGATGGTTAGGTTCTTAATGGGACATCTTGAAATTTGGTGACTTGTTCCTACCAGAAGTGCCTCAGTCTTCGTGTCATTGAGTTTAAGCATATGAGTTGTCATCCAGGACTTGATTTCCCCTGTGCAGTTTGTGAGTTCTTGAAGTGACTGATTTAGATTTTGCAGTGGTATTTTCTTGAGGAGTTGGGTGTCATCTGCGTAAGAGTGATGCGACATGTTGTGGACTGATGTGATGTTGGCAACATGACCAGTATACAGCAGGAACAGCAACGGTCCCAAAACAGATCCCTGTGGTACTCCATGTTTGAGAGTAATGCTGTCAGATCTGTCTTTCCCTATCATTACACACTGCCGTCTGTCACAGAGATAGGAGCTTATCCAGTTCAGTACTATGCCGTCAATTCCATACTGGGTTTTCAGCAGATTTAAAAGGATACTATGGTCTATGGTATCAAATGCTGAGGAGAGGTCTAAAAGGACCAATGCTGCTATGTCACCCCATCTACATTCCGTCTCAACTCATCACTAACTTGTACTAAAGCTGTTTCAGTACTATGACATTGTCGGTATGCAGACTGATGCTTGTCCAATAGGTTATGATTGTCCAAGTGTTCCTTGAGCCTGATACTGACAGCCCTTTCCACAACTTTTGAAAGAAAAGAGAGATTCGATACCGGGCGGAAATTCTTGAAATCACTACTATCCAAATTAGGTTTCTTCAGTAAAGGCTTAACAAAAGAGTTCTTGAATTCCTGAGGAAAATATCCGCTTCCGAGGCTTTTGTTTACAATGTCTGTTACAGTTGGCAAAAACAGATCAATATTTTCTAGAAGGAACTTGGTGGGAACTGGATCAGAGGGGCAGGATGTTGGTTTTGATTTGGTCATAATAGTTCTGATCTCATCCTCAGAAAAAGGATCAAACCTATCGACTCTCTCACCTGTGAAATGTGGAATTTCGACAGGAGATGATTGTTCCATGTCAGCTGACAGTCCTTCACGAATTTTGTCAATCTTGTTGACGAAGAATTCATTTAATATTACGGCGTCAAACAATAAAGAAACGACGACTGACTGACTGACTGACTGACTGAGTGTAGTTTTACGCCGCTTTTAGCAATATTCCAGCAACATCACGGCGGGGGACACCAGAAATGGGCTTCACACATTGTACCCATGTGGGGATTCGAACCTGGGTCTTCGGCGTGACGAGCCAACGCTTTAACCACTAGGCTACCCCACCGCCCAAACAAACGACGAACAAAAAGTTCTGGATCTTAGTGTGTTTTGATACAGAGTGCCCATCAGTTCTTACAATCAAATTGTCATTTAAAATGAGAATACACCCGTTTTGTATCTGCAGGACAACAGCTTTGGCTATGGCGACATAGAGGTGAATAAGAGGAAGTTATTTGGGTTTCCATATAAGGTATTGAACCTTCTGGCAGACGCTATGAACGTCAGGTGAGTTTATTATTGATTTACCTATCAATTTACAATCACTTTCACGATGGATCTAAATCAATCTCCAAAATACATGTGTGTTATGACCACTTTCTTTCGTGGGTGTGTAATCTCTCTTTCACCGAGGAAAATCAGTGTCCGCCATATCTGGCCAACCAGGAGGACGTTAACGTTGGCAACCTTTGACATTTTGACCTTGATTGCATTTGCCGTAGGGATCAATTGAAACACCAAAGACACTATCCATTAAACATTTCCGACTGTTTAAAATTGGACTAGAAAGTTTCACGATTGAATGACAGTTGTCACCAGACATTATAGTGTTAAGGTCTTTCAGAAGATGAACTTGTGACTTCGAAATAAAATCTTCAAAGATTAACTGGAATCAGTTTCTGCTTAATTGTTAATCTTGCGTTATCCTAGTCTAAACACTTGTACGTATTTCAATTTTACACCAACATATTATTTTGTCGTATTCCTGTACTGAAAAAAGTGGATGAAAATATTGCAGGGCTTTGGCGGACACCTGGTAGTATTACTATTTTATAGTGATTCATAAACACATGCTCTGTCATCGTAACACATGGTGACAAACACTGGATTGTCTGGTCCAGACTCCATTGTTTACAAACAACAACATACCGCTGTAATACTGCTTAAACAAATACTCATGATACAATTGTACAATCGACTCTGCTTTTGGCAGAGATTTCTCATGGATGTGGAAAGTGTTTTGTCGCTTCTTTTTCGCATCGATGTCATCCGCGATGGTTATCTTGAGAATTCCTTAGGTGAATCGGTGAATCAGTGAATCTCGAGAGTTCCTTCGGTGAATCTTGACTGTTGCTTTGGTGAATCTTGACTGTTGTTTCGTTGTATCTTGACTCTTGTTTCGGTGACTGTTGACTCTTGTTTCGGTGACTCTTGACTGTTACTTCGGTGAATCTGGAAGGTTACTTTGGTGAATGTTGAGGGTTCCTTCGGTGAATCTTGACTTTTCCTTTCAGAGAATCTTGACAGTTCCTTCGGTGAATCTTGACATATACTTTGGTGAATGTTGACTGTTCCTTTGGTGAATGTTGACTGTTCTTTCTGTGAATGTTGACTGTTCCTTCTGTGAATCTTGACAGTTACTTTGGTGAATCGGTGAATCGTGACGGCTCGTTTGGTGAATGTTGACTGTTCGTTAGGTGAATCTTGACAGGTTCTTCGGTGAATCTTGACAGTTACTGCGGTGAATCTTGACTGCTCCTTTGGTGAATGTTAACTGTCCCTTCAGTGAATCTTGACTGCTCTTTTAGTTACTCCAGTCAGTTTATTGTTAAATAGGATGCCATTATCACAAGCCATATGATGCCTCTGTTTCAAAGTTTCAGGGTTATACCACCGAGAGAAGATGAGTGGGGCAAGAACATCAATGGTTCGTGGTCGGGACTTATAGGAATGCTGCAGAGAAGGGTAAGGAGTGACACCGATGGATATGTTTCAGATATGGACAGCACAGATCCCCCTCTTTTCAGAGAAAGTAGGGTAACTTGATATAAATTTTACATTGATCGTCATGCTGTACAGACTTGTAATTACAGGCAGCTGTAATATAACCACACATTTAGCCTGACGTCCCATATCTGATTGTTGTAGGAAGCTGACCTGGCGTCGGACATCCTGACTATCCACAGTGTCCGTACTACAGTTACAGATTACATCCTGCCTCCGATCTGTGAAACCAGACAAGTGATCATGTACAAGCAAGAGGAGGAGGATGACCAGGGCATCATCCTTCTCCGACCTTTCAGTCCTCGTGTCTACATATTGCTTGGTGTGTCTCTCATCACATGTATCATCTTCCTGTCCTCCTGTGTTTTAGTCCAAGACAACGAATTCGATTCTAGAAAAAGTCTAATAGGCGCCTCGAAAGTACAGACCATTACACAAGCAACATTTGAAATTCTTGGAGCTACTTTGAAGCAAGGTAGGAAAATTTTGACTTTGCAAAAACATCCTGGGTTCCAATGATTGTTTCTTTTCAATTTAAGAAATGTGTTGATATTGTATTGTGAGATTGTATGACTATTTTGACCAAATTGTGCATGGTTTGTGTTTATTGTGTTTATTCACATAATTACATCTCTCTCAAAGGAGTGAGTGAGTACGGGTTCACGTCGCTTTTAGCAATATTCCAGCAATATCAGGGCGGGGAATTCCAGAAATGGACACATTGTTCCCCTTTGGGGAATCGATCCTGGGCCATCGGAGTAACGAGCGAACGTTTTAACCACAAGGCTACCCCACCGCTCTACCTCTGAAAGGGAGTGTATTAGTCTGGACAGACACATGTGTACAAGAATGAAAGCTGAAGAGTACAGAATAAATTACCTTTGTAATAAATATAACCAACAGCAGTCTTCCGGATAGTAGTATTTCATCACATGATACGAAACCTGTGTGATGCAGCGTTTGGTCTTACAGGGTCAAGAGTCAAGTCTTCATATAGCTCAGGTCGGATCCTAGTGGCGGGATGGTGGTTGTTTACAACAGTTGTTTCTGCTGTCTACTGTGGAGCCATCATGACCGCGTTTGCTGTAAAATTAGAAACTCCGCCATTTTCCAACATGGCTGAGTTGGCAGCCAGAGAAGACTACAAGATCGGCTATGATTCATCAAGCATTACTGAAAACATTCTTCAGGTAAGCCGAACTACACTGATTTTGTATTTGTTGTTTAACGCGCACTCAGCAATATTCAAGCTATATGGCGGCGATCTCGAAATAATTGAGTCTGGACCAGACAATCCAGTGATCAACAGCATGATCAGAGATCTTTGCAATTAGGTTACGATGACATGTGTCAACCAAGTCAGCGAGCCTGACTACCTGATCCCGTTAGTCGCCTCTTACGACAAGCATGGGTTGCAGAAGATCAATTCTAACCCGGATCTTCATTGGTCGAACTACAATGAAAATGTTTCGGAATACAGTCAACAATTGATTCTGACAAACAGTAAAGCATATAATCAAAGCGTATATTCTTTAACATGAATTTCAGAATTCAAAGAAATCAGATGTCAGGACAATCAAAAGAAGAGTTCATGAGTTATCTACAAGAGACCCGGATGTACACAGCACAAACGGCACCAAGCATCTGCAGAGAGTCTGGGAGGGAAAATATGCTTATATGACAGATTTATTACTTACAGGCTTAAACAATGCAAGCTGCAAACTTAAAGCCATTAACACGAAAAGTGGAAGGGCTTTCATCGCTTTTCATGTTCCAAGGTGGTCACCTTTCAAACAGGATTTCCTGAACAGGTATGCGTCTCTTTATGTATTTATCTGGAAATAATGCAACAGGAACGATATATTGGAGATATTGTTCTGCATACATTAATATTCTTTTCGGAGTCACGTGTAGAATTAAGTGCTACTTTGAGCAGAAAAATGATTGCTTAAAAGTTTGAAATTTAGAAATCTGAAAACAAAGTTAAAAAAAGAATGCGTGACAATGGTACATCTTCTTGATCTTAATATCGTAATTCATAATTTGCACGTGCATTATCATGTCATGTTGGTTCTACTGCTATTGTTGGCTGTTTATATCAAATATAGAACATAGCAAGGTTGAAATGGTACGTGCCTACGACAGGATCAGAACCAATTTCATAAATGAACCTACATGGGTTTCTAAAACCTCACTAATTCTAACTAACTAAGATGTTCTTGTCTATTGTTATAATTTGATTCGTAATCACAGGGTGCGTATAAATAAGTGAAATGACATTTATCAGATTTATTATCATTTATTAGAGATAAGTGACGTTATGGAAGAGGACCATATGACACATTCGACTGATTAAACCGTCCTTGAACGGTTACAACATTGAATGACATGACATTTGCACGACTTTATGTGAGTCACAGTTACATTTATATGTCAGTACAATATACATGTATATCCTCATCTTTAATTTGTTTAATCTTGTCCTCAACAGCATGTCCTATCTCAGCGATAGTGGTTTGCTGCATCGAGCCTTTCAAGAATGGTTCCCACCCACTTCAGATGATGGATGTTCTAAAGACGACTTCCCTAAAGCTGTGTCTCTGGCAAAGATCCAGAGTATCTTCTTGGCCGTTGGAGGCGGGGTGGTCTGCGGCTTTATGATCCTGGCGGCAGAGACTGTTTGGTATAAGATACAACAGAAACTGTCTAAAGAATAAGTGAGTTCTCCTGCAGTAGTCGACTATTTAAGGTTTGTTTGGTGTTCTTTAACGCTGACTCAGCAATACATGACGGCGGTCTGTAGATAATAGAATATTCAGACAATCCAGTCATCAACATCATAAACATCGATCTATGCAGTTGGGTTTGACATGTGTCAACCAAGTCAGCGAGCCTGACCACCCGATGTCGTTAGTCGCCTCTTACGACAAGCATACTTAGCATAGGTTTTTGAAGACCAGTTCTAACCCGGATCTTCAAAGGTTCCTATCCAAAGTAGCTGAAGGGAAGGGGGATAGCTATGAATTAGTTACAATTGAGCTCATGTTACCCTTTGTATCCCGCAGATGTCGGTGTTTTGGCTTCAGCACTAGTGTTGGGAACTGGTTGAAATCTCACAATTGATGATTGGTTCAATACCAACGACCAATCATCGAAAGAAAATTGGTTAGCGTCACTTTCTAGATTTTCCTATTCAGGTTGTAGTTGCAGATAAGTTGTTGTTTTTAGAAACTTCACAAATTACATTTGCAGTTTTCACATCCAGTGTAAAATGATTCAGTTCCAGTGTAACATTAACTTCCCAGATTCTTCAAGAAATATTCAGTCATGACTTTTCAGAAAGTGAAGTGAGTTTTCTTAGAAATAAACACGTTTTCAGGCCCCGACAACGTCCTAGATATGTTCCATCATAAAGTATTTCAAACTATATTACAGCGGTTCCAAAATCGTTTGTGTTCGATTATGAGAAAATGTGATCGATTGCTTGGTCGTTTGGCCACTGCGACCAATCTTCGTATAGTCAGCACACCAATAATTGATGGAAGAATCATTATCACCAATAACTGATGGCGATTCCTTTATGTCAATACTTTAGACATGATCAGTGTTTGTCAATGTGTGGTCTGTTCACTTTCTATTTATGGAAGTACACGTTTTGTTTTATAAGCCGTTCAGCGTGAATAAAGACATGAAACAACGTCATTTTGTTTTCTAAATGAAGACCAATGTACCGTTGGTTGGTTGGTTTGTTGTTTAACGCCGCACTCAGCAATATTCCTGCTATACGGCGGCGGTCCAATGTACCATTTTATTTCAGCAATTATAGTGAATTTCCCCTGAACTCCAATATAGAACATGGCTAGGTTGAGATGGTGCGTGGCAACGACAGGACCAGAACCAAGCGGCAACGCTATCTTGTTTATATCAATCGTTGACACCCCCGTACTGTTTCAAACATCGGAAAGGGTGGTCACGTGTTAATAGAGTTTGGGGAACATGTCTCTTGTTAATGTTTACGTGTTGTGTCAATGAATGTTATGAGAAGACACTGATCAGACGAATGACCAATTAGGATGTTATTTCGAATACTATGATATTTGTACGACTTTATGTGAGTTACATTGTTGCGTACGCTTTGGTCGATAGTGTCCTCATCTAGTGATCAACAGCATGAGCATCGATCTACGCAATTTGGGATACGATGTCATGTGTCAACCAAGTCAGCGAGCCTGACCATCCTATCCGGTGAGTCACCTCTTACGGCAAGTATGGGTTGGTGAAGACCAATAATTATTCTAACCCGGATCTCCAATGGATTAGTGGCCAAATGTTTGTCATCCAAAGGAAGGTGAGATCACTTCCTGAAAGTTACTTCGTTTATTGCAAAACATCAGATAAACACTACGGGGCGGTGGGGCAACTTAGTGGTTAAAGCGTTCGCTCGCCAAGCCGAAGACCCACATGGGTACAGTGTGTAAAGCCCATTTCTGGTGTCCCCCACCGTGATATTTCTGGAATATTGCTAAAAGCGGCGTGAAACTAAACTCACTCACTCATCACACTACCTTCCTAAATTTCAGAAACATCAGTACACTGACTGACTGACTGAGTATGTTTTTACGCCGCTTTTAGCAATATTCCAGCAACAAAGCGGCGGGTAAAACCCAACTTCACTCATGTGGGATCAACCCGGTCTTCTGCCTTCCTAACGCTTTCCACTAGCATCGCCCAAAACATTAGTTACAAAACAAGAAGAGGAGTAGTGGTAACTCTGAACATGGTGACGACTACAAGAACTTATTTTCACTACATTGGTAATGTGTTTTATTTCTTGAAGTTTCAAGCCATTGGCTCACAGAAGATAGGGTAGTGATAATAATTTGTACATAATGAATGAAAACGATACATGAAAAAGGGCAATACGTGGACATCAGGTTTTTGATGAATGCTGTTTAAATGCAAAAATACAAATTTTGATAAAAGTGCGCATTTACATTCAGAGGACATCCATTCAATACATTTACTGTATGTAGGATCAGAATTATATTTAGACTTCAGGTATTTGCTCAGCCTGGTTCCCTGGGTCTGTTGCGCCTGCGCTACGCTCCGACACTGAGCGTAGCGCAGGCGCAACAGACCCAGGGAACCAGGCTGGTATTTGCTTCTTAGATATTTATAGGCACCACATACAAGCAAAAAGTGATATTCATTTTCAATTTCATAAGTTCCAAAACGTAGACAGTAGGCACACAATCGGTCTTCTTGTTCTGTGTTGAGATGTCGTCCTTTCTCAGTCATGAGGGTGTGGCAGGAGCATCGGAATTTTGATAGGGCTTGTCTAAACATAAGTTTATCAGCATGAAGGAGATAATGTTCTATAGTTTGAGATGACTTGAAAAGCTAGGAAGCATAAAGTTTAGAGTTTGAGTTTCACTACATGAGCTACAAGCGACACCCTTGGGCAAGAAACGTGAAAATCCGGGTTTTAACTAATTTTCAGTTACCCATGTTTGTCGCAAGAGGCGATTAACGGGATCGGTTGGTCAGGCTCGCTGACTTGATTAACACATGACATCGTATTCCAATTGCAAAGATCGATGCTCATGATCACTGGATTGTATGGTCCAGACTCGATTATGTACAGACCACCGCATTATAGCTGCGTCTTACGCAGGTCTCACGCGTTTAGCCCTTTGTTGAAACCTACAAATCCGTGAAAACCCAGGTTAGAATTGGTTTTCAGTAACCCATGATTGTCGTAAGAGGCGAAAAAACGGATCGGGTGGTCAGGCTCGCCGACTTGCTTGACACATGCTCATGATGTTGATCACTAGATTTGCTGATCCAGACTCGATTATTTACAGACCGCCACCATATAGCAGGAAATTTGCTGAGTGCGGCGTAAAACTAAACTCACTCACTCACTCGCCCAATTGCGTAAATCGATGCTCATGCTGTTGATCACTAGATTGTCTGGTCCAGACTCGATGATTTACAGACCACCGTATTATAGCTGCGTCTTACGCAGGTCTCACGCGTTCAGCGCTTTGTTGAAACCTATGAATCCGTGAAGACCCAGGTTAGAATTGGTCTTTAGCAACCTACGCTTGTCGTAAGAGGCGAAAAACCGGATCAGGTGACTCGGGTGATCGATGAGATGGATGCTCTTGGCGTCCATCACATGGTTGTCTGGTCCAGACTCGCTCATATAGCTGGAATATTGCTGAGTGCGGCGTTAAGCAACAAACAAACAAACAAACAAACAAACAAACAATTCACAACACAACAAGAAATGACAGTGTTCTTTTCATGACTCCTGTCTTGCAACACTTTCAGAAATATTTGACGAAATATGAACTTCTTATACCTTGTCATCTTTCAGACATTTGGTTATCGACCTACCTCATTAACTAGTTGTGTTTGCAGCCATGTGGAAAGAACTCTTTATATCTTGTTATTCCTGTAACTAAACCTGGCAAGGAACATACGGACCCATCTGATTATCGACCTGTCTCATTAACTTGCTGGGTTTGCACACCTGTGGAACGAACGCTCAAAGAGCGATTAGTTTGGTATTTGGGAACCAATATCAGATTACCAATATTCAATGCAGGTTTCTTTTAACCACCCACTAATAGTCGACTCATAATGGATGGTTAATAGTACTTCGATTCTTGGGCAGTTAAACAACATGCTACATTAATAACTTTGTATTTTTAGAAAAAAGCGTGTGATACTATATGGAAGCAAGACATTTTGAAAGTTGTTCGTGACTTTTTTAGAGGTCACTTGCCTCCTTTATATCCCAGTTTCTAATACACAGACAATTACGGTCTTATGGGCGTTCCTCAAGGATTCAGGAACATTCAAACACTCAACGACTTTAAGTCCAGTTTGAAAATAGCACACAACTGAAAACTTTGTGTCAAAGGTCCTCTAAGCGCCTCCCAGCAGACTTTCACGGAGTGGATACAGGCGCTATATAAATGACTAGCTTGATTGATTATTTTGTCTGTCACATTGTTTATTTTAATAATATATCATCTTTTAACGGTTTTAAGCGAGTCATTTGATAGTTCACTATTTGTTGAGGGATGTATTTTGCCATGGTAAATGCATGGATACATCTGAGAGACAGTTGCAGCTATGTCTCAATAAACTCATTGAGTGAGTGAGTGCGGTTTTCGCAGCTCTCAGCAAAATGCAAACAATATCACGGTAAGATACACCAGAAACTGGGTTTCACCCATTGTGCCCATGTGGGGAATCGAACTCGGGTCTTCCGCGTGACGTGCGAACGCTTTAACCACTAAGCTATCCGCCGCCCGTATAAATACGTGAACTGACATTTATAAGAAATATTATCATTTACTAGAGATATGTACATTCAGAAGAGGCGAATTTAACAAATTCAACATTATTAACTATAAACTATATATTCTATAAACTAATTAAACCGTCACTTTTGACAAACGGAAAGATATTGATGAATAGATCGAATGTTTTGAGTGTCATACAACTCTTCCAAGAAGTTGTTCGAGTGTGAGTGAGTGAGTTTCGCTTTACGCCGCTTTTAGCAATATTCCAGCAACATCACGGTCACAAAATGGGCTTCACACATTGTACCCATGTGGGGAATCGAACCTGGGTCTTCGTCGTGACGAGCAAACGCTTTAACCACTAGGCTACCCCACCGCCTCAGAAGTTGTTCGATCACGGTCACAACATATAAGGTCCCAGAAAGCTTCTATGAAAGCTTAACTAGAAAGTCGTAAAAGGATTAGAATTAAATAAGGCTTCATTCGCTGGTGTTCAGAGAATCTTCATCCCTTAACTCGCGTAACAAGAATACATTTAATGGTGTCGTACCTTCAACTTCTGAAGGACCTAAAGCCTCATTGTGGATTATTATTATCATCATTATTATTTTAACATTTGCATAGCGCCAATATCCAGCCCAACTGCTCAAAGGCGCTTTGATTTTCTCCGATTATTGTATGTCAAACTCAAACGGCACATCGTATTATCAATCTCAACTCCCTGGGCAGCCACTAGGTGCACCAAGTTAATGTGGCTTTCCAATCCTTACGAGGTACCCATTCACAGCTGGGTGGACTGGGACACAGTCACAGTTCTTTGTCCAAGTTTCACTGCACGTTGCTGTACCCGCAACTAGGTGTTTGCATGTATTCATGTGGCCACCATCTGGTCATTTACCAACGGATTCGTGGGTTCTTTGAAATGCACAGGGTTGTGTACTGTACACTAGGGGTTGTGACAACACTGAAAGTGTCTGCACACAAAGTTGACTCCAAGGGTTTTACACCCGGTCATAGGTGGGCTCGATCCCGGCGGTGGGGTAGCCTAATGGTTAAAGCGTCCGTCACGCCAAAGACCCGGGTTCGATTCCTAATATGGGTACAATGTGTGAAGCCCATTTCTGGTGTCTCCCGCCGTGACATTGCCAGAATATTGCTAACACGTAAAACCATACTCACTCACACAAGACACCATTAATAAAACTCCCCACAGCCAAGATAAGATTAGAGACGTTTCTCTTCTTTATGCTGGCTCTCAGCCAATATTTTCATATTGCAGCCGCCGTCCACAGTTTCAGGTGTCCGAACTCAGAATCAGATTCTTTACTGAACAACCAGGAAGGTGTTACCACGCTTTTTCAATGGTTGGGTGGCACGCAATGGTTTTTCTTCATCATAAGTATTTTCGTCAAAGTCATTTACCTCTGACAAAACAAATGTCCCTTTCAAGATTTTTCAGTGTGTATTTGTATCATTTTCCGAAATTGTATTTTGACAATTCTTTATTTAAGAATAAATTGTCATTACTATCGTATTATCCTGCTTTCTTCATTTAGTCTCATGTGTGTGGATTGACAAACCAGTAGGTATTTACTTTTCAATAATAAGAAACGTGACGCAATTTGCAGGTGCGTCAGGCCGAAAACGGGTTCGAGTCCCCACATGGGTACAATGTGTGTCAGTCAGTCAGTCACTATGATGTTACAGGTATCATTTCAACAGAACATTCAACAGCAACAATTGCACTAAGACAAGCAGCATGAAAACTCTTTTTCAACAAAATAAAATATTTATTTTGCAAATGACATGAGAGAAGTGTTTGTACAATGAGGACGAGCACAAAATATTCATTACACTGATGCTGATGACGACCTCAAGCAAGTCATTTCTGTCTTGAAGGCAGAGCTAGGCACGGCCAGTGGTCCAGTAGTCCAGGACAAGTAAAAATCGGAACAGATGTTTTATTCCCAAATCTAATTATTTGCACACCCACTGGTCTGAAATGAGCTGAGATGAGTTGGATACAACCAATGGCTTCTACCATTGATGGAGTAGCTACACATATTCACTGAAGAAGCCATACAACATGATACCATTTTGCAAGCTATGATTAGTTTTAATGTCACGACTTATGAATACAAATAGAGTTGTGACGATATATCGTAGTATTGATAATCGTGATACTTTTTCTGACAATAAATCAATCGATACTTTTTTCCGTATCATGATATGTATCGTTGACCTTTAAATTGTGAATTTTCATCAGAAATTGACGGTTATGTCAAAATTTACACTGCTTCTTGTTATCAAAATACACTTTTTTAAAGAAAATAACTAAACATAGCATATCGTGATATGCATCGTATCAAATCGTATCTTTCTATGATATCGCAATACGTATCGTATCGTAAAATTTCTGTGTCGTCACAACTCTAAATACAAATAAGAGGATTCATAACGAACTCATGGGGATTTCAGGTACATAGGTCCCCAGTAACCTACTTCTGTGGTAAGTGGCAACCTGATGATTTAGACTCAATTATCTATGGTCCAACAGCTCTCATACATGTCACACAGCTCTTAAGACAAAGGGGGCGGTCCGGTAGCCTAGTGGTTAAAGCGTTGGCTCGTCACGCCGAAGACCCGGGTTCGAATCCCCACATGGGTACAATGTGTGTGAAGCCCATTTCTGGAGTCCCCCGCCGTGATGTTGCTGGAATATTGCTAAAAGCGGCGTAAAACCAAACTCAGTCAGTCAGTAAGTCTTAAGACAAGGACCTATAGGTCTGTACACCTTGTTACAAAGTAACATTCTGTTAGTTTTGCATGGGCTAAAAGAAGTATTCAAGGTGTTTTCCTTTTCAGAACTTTATGGTTCTTCAAACCCACATGTGAAGCTGCAGTTAACAACTTCAAGCTATTTTATCCTCCAGACCACAGTGGTTCTCCAGCTAAAAATCTGACACTGCCCAGAAAGTGTTTTCACAAACCACCCTGCATCTCCGACACCCACAGCTTAAATGTCCGATCATAGGAACAAGTGGCGATGTACTTGAGGTCGAGTGAGACGTCGAGCCCCATCACCTTGCCCTCGTGGCCAGCCATTGTCTTGAGAGGGGCCCAGTTAGGGCTGGCCCATATCTGGAACAGAGACGCCCACAATAAAGGTTAATCAAATGTGGGTCAAGCAGCGTGAGGTTTCAAATGTTAAAATAAACATGGTTAAATCTACAGGTAACACAGGTCTACATTGATACAGAGTATGTTTATCTCAATACTATAGTCCGTTTGGCTCAAAAGCGGACCGATGAATTGCAATCTAACTCGCCAGGTGTGCGAGAACGGATGGAGACGGCACAGCACAGGTTAATGAATAAATAACTTTGTCTGTGAACGTGCTTCTCGAACACCTGGCTGTCCCTTTCTCTGCACTCCTCCCTCGTAACAAACAGTGAACTGTGTCAATATTTTAATGATAGTTTGTTAAACAACTTTATTATTTTTAGGACAAAAATTCTGCAAAAATCTCACAGAGTGGGTATGATGTTTTGATTATGATCAGCGTTTCATTGAGTATGTTATGTTTATTAGTTTTCGAGTTAAATTGCAATTCATCGGTTCGCTTTTGAGCCAAACGGACTATACCAAGACAATAACACGCAATATCTGTTGTCATCACAAATATACCCAGTAAAGTGGCAATGATAGTGAATCTGAATTAAGGCAAACTCTATAATAGCACTTACAAAATATGGCACATTTTCAACACAAGCATAGTTTGTTCATATCATAAAATGTCATTTTCTGGAAGCACCCTCTAGGTTACCGTACCTTGGCCATGTTGTCGTAGGACGCTGTAAGGAGGTAGTTCCCATGTTGAGCTGTTAAGAAAAGACCAACATGTCAAAACAACATAAATGTGTATCCAGTAGAAAAGTTGCTCATTTCCCATCCATTTAACACAAAGTTTAAGTGCTTCGCACATACTCCATAGGATAAAAAAATATGGCCTCTGGGGATCGACGCTGTCTTGGAATCACCATGGCAAGGTGTTGGGAACTTATTACTAGTGCCTGTGCAATATTACCGGTAAACCGGTATATACCGGTACAGTATCTTGCGATACGATTATCGCGATATGGTTCAGATTCTGTAATATATTGGGTCATCCAGAGTTAGCTCCCTTTGCATTATCTGCCCTTGATTTCCAAGCAAAAAAATGTGCTCTAAAAGTAACAAATATACTTTTATTTCTGTTGGTTTCATGTAACATTTTACAAGTGGGAGTATCTTTATAAGTGGCTCCAAAAGTGTCAAATATTCTACCAAATGCGTTACATTTTGTGGGTTTGAATGGTTTCATATGCGACATTTTGGAGGAATTAAGCACAGTGTATGATCTCATACAGTGCAAACCGGATATAGTGTGCTGTACACTCGTGCTTTGGTTCATAGATATGTCGTCTGAACAGGTATGCTCGATCAAAAACGTGTATTTAAAGACAAAGTACCGTATAATTTTACATGCAAATAGGCTGCACTACAACATTAGATAACTTCGATCAGGGATAATCTACAACACGGATAGGTCACTCGCTTGCCATTTGTACTAATTTGTACTAATTAGCATGTACCTCGTCATGCTCCAACGCACACAGTGAATTGGTTTGTTCCCAGCGCAACTTCGGCTACGTTTAACAGTATTTCAGCCAGTTTATTGTATCAGTCGGAATTTTACAATGAATGAATGAATGAATGAATGAATGGATGGATGGATGGATGGATGGATGGATGGATGGATGAATGAATGAATGAATGAATGAATTATAGCAAGAATTAAGAGCAATGGCATGGACATTGACAGAATGTTAACTGACACTGTCACACACCCCTCAAAAACAGAAAGTTTAAAACTATCACAAAGTGTTGTAAACACCTTTCCAGTTGTGTCACATACTAAGATCAACAAGAAAGAAAGAAGTTTTAGAACTATAACACTCAAGCATCACAAGCACCAATGGCGTATCAGATCAGATCTGCGATATGTCATATTTTTCACACACCTCAAATAAACCCTAACAATTTTTAAAGATATGTGAAAGATGTTTTAGAACTTATAACTAGAAACACTCAAACAACGCTCTGTAGTATTTCAATGGCTGGATCAGAACAGATCGGGCGATATGTCATATTTTTCTACACACATCAAATACACCCTTACAATTTTTTAAAGTTATTGCTTGCAAACACCTTTCACCTGATGGTATATTCCCTCATAAAAATAAAGGTGTATGTGAAAGTAGTCTTTAGAAATCTGATAACTAGAAACACTCCAAACAACGCTCTGTAGTATTTCAATGGCGGATCAGAACAGATAGCTTATATGTCATATTTTTCACACACATCAAATACACCTCAAACAATTTTTTTAAAGTTATTGCTTGCAAACACCTTTCACCCTGATGGTATATTCCCCCATAAAAAATAAAGGTGTATGTGAAAGTAAGTCTTTAGAATCCATAACTAGAAACACTCAAACAATGCCCTGTAGTATTTCAATGGCGGATCAGAACAGATCGGCGATGTATGTCATATTTTTTCACACACACCTCAAATACACCCCTAACAATTTTTAAAGTTATAAACTATCACTATTACTTGTAAATACCTTTCACCTGATGGTATATATTCCCCTCATAAAAAAATAAAGGTGTATGTGAAAGATGTTTTAGAACGATAACTAGAAACACTCAAACAACGCCTGTAGTATTTCAATGGCGATGGATCAGAACAGATCGGGGGATATGTCATATTTTTCACACACCTCAAATACACCCCTTACAATTTTTTAAAGTTATAAAACTATCACTTATTACTTGCAAACACCTTTCACCTGATGGTATATATTCCCCTCATAAAAAAATATAAAGGTGTATGTGTGAAAGATGTTTTAGAACGATAACTAGAAAACACTCAAACAACTTCTGTAGTATTTCAATGTATGGATCAGGATCAGATCGGGCGATATGTCATATTTTTCACACACCTCAAATACACCCTTACAATTTTTTTTAAAGTTATAAAACTATCACTATTACTTGCAAACACCTTTCACCTGATGGTATATATTCCCCTCATAAAAAATAAAGGTGTATGTGAAAGATGTTTTAGGAATCCATAACTAGAAACACTCAAACAACTTCTGTAGTATTTCAATGGCGGATCAGATCAGATGGATGGCGATATGTCATATTTTTCACACACCCTCAAATACACCCTTTACAATTTTTAAAGTTATAAAACTATCACTATTACTTGCAAACACCTTTCAACTAAACGATATTTCCTTCTAAAAATTGGCACCTAATATGTGAAAGAAGTTTTTAGCGATAGAATTTAGTCTTTCTTCGCTGTGGACCGAGAATTGAAGCCAGTGAGCTACAACATGCCGACTTGAAACTTTACTTCAAATCTAATGTACTTATACTGACACTAATAACAATTATTTGACTTAAAATGAAGTGACAGAATAGGTAACTCATCTTCTACATGTAGGTTTTCAGTTGTCACAACACTCAGCAAATGTAATCAGCTGTTGAAAATAAACCGGGCCCAATCTTAGTAACTAAGCTGCCGCCATATTGGCTACACTGGTCACGTGACGAGACAAGGTTTATGCTTTTCGGGGCTTTTCGAGGAGTGACCACTCCCCGTTATATAGTCTCCCGGCTTCGATATAACAGTTACAGTAATTATTAGCGAGATATTTGTATGTTAATGAAAACTCAATTTTTTCACCTCTTGCACATCGGGCCAAATTCGACAAACTTGTGCGCTTTCGCTTTTACTCACATATACCATCATATTTGCCTAAAGAGCTACCAGTATTCTATTCATAGATTTTACAATGTATGTGTGAATTTTCATGTTTCAAAGTTGTTTAGTTATGACGATATCAATGAATTCACTGGCAACAATGCAGCATCACTTAACTGGATTTGTTTCTCTGTATGGAATATAGCGCATAGCTGAATAACGTCCTGACAGAGAGCTTATTCAAGGGTGCGCTTTATTGATATATTTGGACACATTCAACGTATGTATATATATTGTACTGGTATATCTTGTTTTGAGAGAACTTATTACGAAAGCATATTTGGAATATCTCCAATCACAAGTTACAGCTTTCAGAAATTTGTCATGTGCAAGAGTTTCTCTAACTCTGAGTTGTCTCAACTGTCTAACGTGACCACTGCAAATGTTATTGACATCATGACCCAACGACTTGAACTACTCTTTTTTGTTCGTCTGAACATTCGGTAACCTGTTCTAATTCACGAAATTCCAAACTGTTAAAAAGTTCTTCACAACTTTTCAAAATACGAGCTTCGTGTGATACTTAACATTTTCCAATGAGAGTCGGATGCTCCTAAACCCCACATAAATCAACGTCCCCTAACTTTCCACCCGTACAGACATAGGTTTTCTTTCCATTAACACACATTTTTTAAGTGTTAACCTGTTTTAGGTCAGTTTTAGCAATCCTGTCCTGCATTTGCAAGAAGGTACAAGTTGGTTGTCTTCAAGAGGACCTTTCATTCTGTCCAGAACAGTCCTATCAGGAACTGCGAAGTTTATTTTGGAATCATTAGGAACATACACACCACTAGGTACTTTTCCCTCTGTCACTGTGCCGGTGTTTTTCAGCCCAATGTCTCCAAAAACACTTTGTAATGTCACTGTATCTCATCAGTACCCTGTTGTGGAGTGAATACCCCGATACCACTTCAGAAAACAGCATGAACGCAATATTGTCCAAGGGAAATGAATTTGAAGCAACCAATCGTGTAAATTTAAGAAAACAGACGTCCTTAAGTTATTTTAGACTAGTGGAAGCAATTCTATCATTTCTTTCACAGAACCTCCATTAAAACTCCCACATGTCGACGAGGTCCGAGTGCTAGCTTCATGCAAGGAAAATGTGTTTGTATTTCTATCTAGTTCCTCTGTTAACTCATTCATTGACAAGGCTTGCATCTGGCCAAACACACCCTCCTTCATATCACATTTAGACTTTTTCTTAAGGGGACTGAATACTTCAGTTTGAAATTTTGGGTTTGAAGAAAAAAAAATTAAGATAAGATATTAGAATTTGTATTTTAATTCACTGGATGGGTGATTGATAATACAGTGGTCACTGATAATGTTGAAAGAATTTTCCAAAAATCAGAATAATAGCAAACTGAAGTGTTCATTTAGTCGACCTGTGTTGAATTTAGAAGTAAGAGAAAATGATGCAAAATATATAATTAGGACCTTCAATTATCTAGAAATGATAGCATGAACTAACTAGAAGCCGTACAATGATTAGTTTTGAAAGCACTATCAACCAACTGTATTAGCGGCAATCAACTTGTACGGTGATGATGCATAGGTGGGTAACGTTTAACTCTCGTGTAAAGAAACGAATACTCTATGTTAGGAATATTTCACACCATTTGAAAGGTTATTTATCACATATTTCATATGTTGTCAAATTATACCAAGAAACTGCAAAATTAAGGCATATTGTGGCTTTATTTCCGATGTTTTCTGCGAAGGAGCAAAATCGGCGATGTGCTTTTGATATTTGAAAGAATTTAGAGGGTCATTATTCAAATTAGCAGTGAATGATAGTTTATAAGAGTAAGAAGAAGTGTTTCGCTCATTTTAGAACTTGAACTATACTCACAGTAACCAAAAAAACAGAAAAAATGAGCCCATGACAACATTTCTATCAACCAAAGCATGAACATACAGCACACTATATCTGTTTTGCACTGTATGAGACCCCACTGTGTTAAGGGACCGCTCATAATTTGGGGGTGATGATGATTTTTAT